TTTCACATATTAAAGCTGCAGCAGCAGCTCTTCTTCAACAGGTACTTAAAAATATTTTATCATCCCCGATGAGCAGATTTTCAAACAAACAGTTTAAGCCCACAGCTTTTTTAAATCAGAGCAGTTATCTTCATGAGATCACTGTCTCCTACCCACCTAAATCACACCTTCCCCACACCAAATACAGGCACCGCTGCTGTCCTCCAGCCATACAACAGCATTTCTGACTTGATCGATGAATTAAAACTTCTTGCTGCTTGACTATCATTTCTTACACCAGTTCCTTGGTAGTTTGGGGCTGGACACTACCAGATGCCCAGCATGGGCACATTAAGCTCTTGGAGACAAAGCTTGAAGACATGAAAAAGCCCCACGCGCCATCATTACCATCAACCTCTAGGTTGACCTTTGTCATCCTTATAGAAAACAGGTAAAACATCATTTGGTTTTTTGGGTTATATACAGATTAATTTTAATTCCTATCTCGTTCTCTCTATGAAGCAGACTTATTCTTCTGTTGTTCTCATATGGCTGACAAAACTTTGTTTGTGTTCGCTTCCTTTGTAAGGCTTGACTTCAACAACTCAGTTTAACTCTTAGATACAGCTTTCTCTGCTGACAAGAGCTTTTCTCTATTTCTCAAAGTCTAACTCCTAAAAAAAAAAAAAAATCTTTCTTAGATCATTATTCATGCACCCTGGTCTGAAAGGTTTTTTCCCTTATTCAAACTAGAAGTCAAGGTAGTGTTTGCAGTTTGGTCTCTCCAGCTTCCAAGCTCATACATTCAACTATCTGAACTTCCTACTTCACTTGACTTCACCAAACACATTCCACAGTTTCCAAGTGTGCCACTGTAAAGCTAAGCATCTCACAGACCTACTCTACTTACCTTTCTACGGAACTTAAGGCACTGACACAGCATCACCTCATACTGGATGAAAGAACTGCCCGGCACTAGTATCTACTGCCTTGGTACAATTCTGGCCAGTTGCTGAGAACATTCCTCTAACCAGGTAGCCTTAAACTACCCCCTCACTTGCCTCTTTGCTATTTACATAAAATCACTGACTGGAGTTCACCTCTTCCGACGCCATTCATACTCTGTCAGCATACTGCTCCTGGCAACAGAAATTCAGGTGTTTAGCAGATGATCTACTTTTACAGCCACTGCTCTACTGGTCTTACCTGCTTCTGGCTAAGGTATGATTCAGCTTGTCCTTGGTTCATTTCATGGGTACCTGGCTGTCAGTTCAAGAACAACAAACCCCACAGAACTCTACACTTTTCACCCATCTTCTCTGCTTTGCTGTCTTTGCTTCATGGACAATAGCACCATCCGGTTCAACACACAGGTGCCAGCCTCCTTACAGGCTGCCTTTACATCCTCAGGAGTAAGCTGAAACTCATACAACCTTCTCTTTCTAGCCACGTCATTCAAATTCCTTGCTACTCCTCTTAAAACTTTTATTCCAGTTACCAATATGCCTTTTTCTTTAGCCTGATGTAATGCCATTCAAAACATTGCTGAAAGTTCACTCAAAAGCCTGCTCTAGAAAGTATTCTCCTCGTCCCCTCTTTTAGGCATGCCATCCATCTATATAAATCTCTACTCTCCATCCTTCTCTCTCACAAAGAACTTAAGCCATGTATCTCAGATCCATAGCCTTTGTGGCTTGTTCCCGATGTTCACATCATCTGTCATGATCCTGGACATCTGTAAGGCCTATCCTGGAGACACCAAAATCCACTTTGTATTCCAAAAACGCCTTTGTGCTTTCTCTTGCTGAACCTATCGTGTTCAGGAGGTATTCTGTCTCAACATCTCCAGAAGTTACATTTGACTTTTGAAGTGTTGTATAATTTCCATTGCCTTAGTATCTACAAATAACTTGAGAAAAAAAATCAGACTGTTGCAAAATTGACGCCACTGCCTTGGGTGCCATTCATCAGCCGAGACAAACGTGTACAGACAAGCCTCATTTGATACTTAGTCTGTAAATTCTTTTTCGTCAGGATAGTGCTTTTGTGCAGCATCTGTCACAACACTGAGCTACCACTAGAGCTTTTAATATTTCATAAAACTGTAGTGCCTAAAGTCAAGCTTCACTAAATATTTCATGACTAAGTATTTAGTGACAAAACCAGAAGCTATTATTGGCATCCTTTGATGTCTAATATTAAATTTAAAGCTAAGAAATTTGGTGTTTATACAAAAGCTTCACACTTTTGAAAGTTGTAGGACTGCTGATGACTGCATACGTCACAGCCTGTTTGTCTTTTTCTTTTATTAATTGTAGAAGTTTGAAACACAAGGAAGACATTTCTGTAGTTAAATAAACAAGTGTTTACTGCGCTTAAGCTGTAATGTTATGATTGGCTTTTAAACAAACCATTCTCTCATAATAGGGCTAACCATTCAAGAGCCTTGGATGGGTTCCTAGGATAGAGAATTTTAAGAAATGTTTATTAGACTTTGAGACATAAAAGATATAGGTTCATTCACTTACGGGTACCTGTACACAACCATATTTGAGCAAGATTTCAAGCTTCTCAGTAATTAAAGGAATTGGTAATAAATCCCAACACACTCCGAAGATGTTTTATATTCCTTTCAACACAGGTTCTGTAAGTTTTCAGTTAGATCTGCATTTCTCTCAGACACATCAAATAATTTACCATCTAACTCTTTTCAACTGAAAGGCCTCCAAATCACTTTACGAATGCATCATCACTAAGAATTCCAGCACTCTTGAACCACTGGATCAAGCTCCTGCTCTGATACCACACAATATTTAAAAGCCACATGCAACATCAAGGTTTTAAAATACTTGGGCTTCCCAAGACACAAGGAATTCGACCTGAACCAAGAAAGGACAAAAAGCTCAGTGCCTCTGTCAAGGTCAAACTCTTAAGTAGACCTCTATAGAACACAAACTGACAATGAGAAAGTCACTTTTTAAAAAGTAAATCCAGGCACGCATATAATCAGTAACAGGGGTGCTACATTTGTTACAAGAAAGGCTCAATACTTGCTGATGTACAAATTGGTTGTTCCCATACTCTTCAGTTCAACTTGCATCTTCAACCTAAGCTTGACTTAGAGCACCACCAAAAAAATAAGGCCAACATAAATCTAATACTTTATGAATTCAGTACTATGGTTGTCAAAGCATAGGAAAAAAAAATAACATCATAAAACCCCATAAACTCCAGATCTAAAAAAAAAAAAAAAAAAAAAAAAAAAAAAAACCTGATGATAATTATAAAAGAGACAATTAGGCTTTTCAAGACAAAACTGCTGGGGGCAGGAAGGGCTATTCATGAATAAAGTTATGGGTTAGAGGCTATTTATTGACTTTAGGACCACAGTAAAGCCATTAATAAAACAATATCACAAAAAAAAGCTTAAAATATTTATGTTCTGAAGCGTTAAAGGGAAACAAACAGCCCATATGTTTAAAAATATTCTTAGGTAATATGCATGAGATTTTTTGATCATGAAAGATATCAGCGTGGAAGCTGAAGTCATCAATTCATGCCCAGAACAGGTGCAGACTTCTGACACGCTGCATCCTTCCCCACAAACAGGGCTCAATTCTGACCTGAAAAAACTAATGCTAGCCACAGAAATCTAAAAGTCACATCCGTGACCTTGTAAGTCACTTGCCCTCCTATTAAGATAGGTACCATCGGCTGTGGTGATGATCTCAGAAACATATATGCACTCTTCCTTTGAAAATATGACCAAGACCTGGCAAATTCCTTCTACAAGCTAGGAACAACATAGCTGACACAGGAAAAAAATTCTACTTTCCTGATTTATGTTTATGGGACACAGACATGTTCAAAATTACCTCTATCCCTTACACAAAACCACCAGCTGGGAAATTTACAGGAGCTCAAAAATACTTTCTAATATTTTTTCCTGGGAAAAACAGGAGGCAGAGGTGGGAAATCTGCCACTCGAAGGAAGCAGATTTGAAATTATCTGTTCTGACCAGAACTCTATGTACTTCTTGGAAACATAGGAAGGGGAGCTTCTAAGCACTATCTCTATGCAGGACAGAATTTGCTTATCTTTCTTGACTGTGGATTCAGCACCGCTGCACTGCTTTATGTCATGGAACTTCACAAGAACGCCAGTTGATATAAATCTCAGGGCAGTCTTAAAAGTCTTTAAAATACCAATCTGGATACTACATCAAACCAAGTTCTTACATCATTGCCTCTGATCCTGAAGAAAATATAGAAACGTAACAAAATAATATGAAAGCCAGAGCCAGCTCCTGAAGATCTGGCTCAAACTGCCACAGCTGCAAGGATTCCAATGAAGTGAGGACATTTTCTTTCAGCTGGGGACTTGGCCTGACAGAGGTGAAGCACTCGGCAGCATGCCAAATGGAGTGCGTGTGCATTTAAGCTCAATCTACTTACCACTAAAGCGCTTTGAAATGTACCTTTGACAAACAGTACAGAGCTGTAATTCCTGCAGACATGCAAACAAGTAATTTCTAACCTAGCTGAGAAAGCACTACAAAAATAAGACCCAAACCTATATTCACTTAACTTCTCAGGAAGTTTCCGCTGACTTCCGACAGATCTTCATTAGTCAAAATACGATGACTACTAAATTTGGGAGACCCGAGATAGGTTCCTAGCAGCAGAAACAAGCCATAGCCCAGTCTTTAACAACTGCTAAATGTTCAGCTTCTCAGGACATAAGCTTATGTCCTTATTCCTGCACTAAGTATCATCCGACCCCTCGCCACAACTGGTCAAAGCTTGTCTGCATGTCAAGGAAAGAGGAAGAGTCAACACAAGGAGAGAGTTATTTCAGATGACCCAGGCAGTCAACTTCAGTGTTTTGGGTTTTTCAACAGTGAGAGCAGTCAGTGCTAAAAGCTACTATCATAACGATTCGTGTGGAATTCAGCTCCCTGGAGCAGGATCCAAAGTCCATGAGCAGCCTTCCAAAACGCCACCGCGCCGGCTTTACTTACGCCTAGCCAGTTTGCTCCTTCCTTGGCAGCCTGCTGAACCTCCACTCGTTTCAGGGTGACATGGAAAATGGCTCCCTCTTCCACCTCTTCACCCACATCCAGAATTGTACTCTGCCAGGGAAAGGAGAAAGGGGAAAAAAAAAAAAAAAAAAAA